GATGGAGGTGCCCTGAAGCTAATCTTGTTCAGGGGGTGGTTTGCTGACAGACACCACTAAATTGGGTCATGCAATCCGGGGTTTTCTGGGAGGAAGTGATTGCGTAAAATTGCTCTCTTTTTCGAAAGTAAATAGGCTTGCGTTCGTTTCGGACTGCGCTGGTTTGTAAAGCCGTCAAACCGCCTTCAAGATAATCGAATTCCGGAAGGCATGTAGTTGTTTTGAGCACCGGGAGTTCGGAAGCCCGAGGCCGGTGAACGTTGGTTTGGCCGGACTTGACGTTGGATTAGCCGAGATTACGGGGCCGATTTTCCCCGTTGTCTCACCGCCAGACCCCACCCGCCGTCACCGTGGCAGCCAGCAATGTAAATAGTTCCATGAGGGGAAAATGGATTTGAACACGACGTTTCCGATGCGGTGGAGACAAAATCCATGATCACAAGCGGGGCTGATCATCATCGACAATGCCTACCAGGACCACGCAAGTTCAGCTGTCAAATAGCGCAAGTCAGGAATTGGCTGAGCCCATCCCATATTAGGTAACCCGACTTGAAGCGAACAGCCGTGAGTCTGTGACAGCATGGATCATGTCGAACGATGGTGGGGTTGGGGATTCCCTGCCCTTGTCAATAGGAATCTCAAACCACCACCCGCTGGCCGCGGCAGCCCCAGGAAACGCAGGTCCGGGATGGACCCCTGTGCTAAGCCCCAATGCCCCCCCTTTTAGCTGAGCTGGACAACGAGGCGGGCAAGCGGGCCATCACCATGGCGCAAGTAAACATGACCCCAGTGAGTCAATTAAGGTAAACTTCTGGGAATTCTGCTTTTCTGTTCCCTCTTTCGCCTTTCAACTTTCCTTTGTTCCAGCTTCCGTCGTCTGTCGCTCAAGTCGCAGTCGCAGTCGCAATCACAATCGCTGTGTCTGTCGTTCTCCCGTCTCCCCCGCACCTCTCCCCCGCAAAACATGGCCGATTCCCCGAGCCGCTCCGGCAGCCTCCGAGTCCGTCGAACCCGCGGCGGCCCCTCGCGAAACTCCTCCGCTCGCTCCTCGGCCGCATGGGAAGACTACGCCTACCTCCACCCCTCGGGTAGCTACCAGCAGCAGCTACCGCAGCATGCGCAACAACAACTCCCCCACGCCCTGCGATCGGCATCGTCGCGATTTTCTCTCAACGAGCAGTTCGCCGCCACGCGACAAGAATACGAGTTCGGCGACGACGACGCATCCTCCATCCTTGAGCGCATGACGCTCGCCTCCGACATCGGCGACGAGAGCACAATTGCCGTGAGCACGGGCGGCGGCGATGCGACACAAGATATCGATGGCGTCGAGGGCGACTACTACGACCTGCTGTGCCTGGCCAAGGACCCGACGCTGACGCCGGACCAGATCCGGAGAGCGTATCACCGGCTACTGCTATACCTGCACAGGGACGGTCTGCCCGAGAATCTGCACGGCGTCGCGCAGCCGTACCTCAATCAGGCGCAGAAGGGGTTCGAAACGCTGATTGATCCGTACCGACGGGCGCTGTATGACGCGAGTCGGTTGCGGGACGTGACGAGTGCGCCCGACCTGCCTCTTGATGAGGACTACCGTTATGTCTATGATATGTCGCTCAAGGAGCAGCTGCGGCAGCGCGCGGCTGACGTGGTGCAGACGTCGTCGGATCTGGGCATCCGGTTCGACGCCACCAAGGCGCTGCGGCAGGGGTCCGCTGTGACGCCCCTCGACTTTACCCTGAGTCACTCTGTAACCGTTGGTCTGCCGGGACTGGGGCGATGGATGGAGAGGACGGCGGCACCGAAGACGCAGCGCGTCTCGTCTGTGTCGAAACGAGTGCCTTCGATTGCGCTCAATGAGAGCGACGAAGCTAGCGTTGACCAGCCACGGGAGTCTATGATCTATCTCCCGCCTCCGCAGGTGACGTTGACGGGATCTGTGTACGGCATCGTAGAGGAGATATACCGGGTCCCGTTGCCAATTCTAGCGGACCGATACCAACCATTACTACCTCTGACTATTCCCCGGAAACGCATCATCCAGCTGGCAGAGCAGCGCCCGTGTCCCCTTATCAGCCTCAAATTCCGACAGGACATCATCCACAGAACAGCTGAAGACCGCATCGCAAAGACATCAATCGAAGTAGAAACCGAGGCCCTCCCAGAGGCATCTCTCACAGCCAAAATCTCACATCCGATCCACCTACCAAACGCCCCCGATCCAATACTCCTCGAGGGAAGCATAAAGTCAGGGCGACCATGGACGCAATCCGCGCCCCGCATCGGCCTGGGGATCCACCGCTGGATGGGCGCCGGCACCGCGTACGCGATCGCAGACAGCGGCGACTGGAGCGTCTGGCCCGGCGAGACCATCAAGCTCTTCACCGACTTCTCGCAAGTCAGCAAAAACCAGCTCCTCACCGAGTTCCCCATGAAAACGTCCGCGAGCTTCGAGGTGGGCTACACCACCTCGCCCGAGCGTGTCCCATCTACGGCCAACGAGGATTCCCCGCGCGGGGAGTACGGCATCCGGGGGCTAGATCACGAGACGACAATCACCAACGACGGCTCCTGGACCGTTTCCGCTTCTCTGACGGCAGATACCATCGGCGGTTACCTCCGCTACGGCAAAGACATGCCAGCACTTCTCTCGGCACCTAGCTCCACGGCCCCAACCAGACTCGAACTCGAACTCTGCACAAACACCCTCCTCGACCGCCACCTCGCCCTCCGCAACCTCTGGCCCGTAGGCCGCTTCTCCAAACTCGGCCTCGAGCTCGGCGTAAGCCTGCACAGCCTGCACCTCTCCCTCTACTGGTCGCGCCTCAGCCAGCGCCTTAGTATCCCGCTCCTCCTGTCCCCGCGCGCAGATTACACGCCCGCCGTCTTCTTCTACGCGGCCGCCGTGCCTGTACTCGCCTTTGCCGCGCGGCATTTTTACTCGTCGTACTCTGCTTCTTCTTCGGGGCGGGCAAAGCGCACTCGCGGGGCCAACCTTGGCGAGGTAGATCTGCAAGCCTACGTCGCGCGTAAACGGGCTGCGGCGGATGACATCGCCGTCGTGCTCTCGGGCGCCGTGGAGGCGCGGCAGCGCGTGGAGCGGCAGCGGGGTGGGCTCGTCATTCTTAGCGCGAAATTCGGCGTCAGGGGTGAGGGTGGAGCCGGGGAGGATGGTAACGGCGATGACGACAACGAGAATATTGACCCAGACTGCTGGGCCGCGGAAGAAGTCGCAGACGTCACCGTCGCAGTAGCAGCGCTGGTGGAGGACGGGAGGCTGCGGATCCCGGCCGGGGTGAGAAAGGCCTCGCTGCTGGGGTTCTGGGACCCGGCTCCCTTGCGGCGGAAAGCACTTCACGTGCGGTATCTGTGGCGCGGGAGGGAGAGTATCATCGAAGTCGCGGGACGGGACGAGCTGGTTCTCCCGCCTGCGAAGAGGGATTTATCGTGATGTTTCTGGCATTTTGTAAACTTTTTGTGGATGTGATGTATGATGGCATGTGCGAGATGATCGATGCAGCATTAGTGGAGTCAGGGAAAACGGGGGAAATCTCAATGGGCGGGTTTTTTGCATGGGGACGGTGTTTTTCTGAAGATTTGCATCACACCTTTAACTATTTTCCACTCGGAGATGAAGAAATTAGTATTTGATTGAGGGAGAAAAAGGAGCTTCCTTTGGAATAGAGCCTCTAGGGCGAACGAAGCTGAGATGCACCGTAAGCAAAGTCAAATGCTGCCTCAGGCCTCGTCATTAGCATTGAAACGCTTCTCCGTTGAGAGAAAGGAATCTCATTTCTTCATTTTTTTTTTCTCGTGATGAATTGAGCAAATGAGGCGGCCGTCGCAGCCTTTCTGACTTCAGTGTCTGGGTAGCTCCGGACTCTCCACATGAGACGGAATACTTTACGGATTACGGACATTTCAGCATCCGTTCGCGAAAGTGGTCTGCTCCGTGTAGTGGTCATGTAGCTCATTTGGAGAACCCCACACTGAGCAGCCTCACACATTTTCGGATGAACGTCTCGAAATGCGACCAAGCTTCGGTCAATGCGGAAGCTCCGCCACAAGTCTCGATTCCACCTAGGTCGCGCATAGGTGGCGGCAGAGAGGATTGCAACATTGGGTAGTAGGGACGTTGTGCATGGCACGTCGTAGCAGGAAGCAAAACCCCCAGGCCTCGCCGCTTAGGCTTTCATTTGAAGTGGGAACCCAGTGATCAGAGTTGCCAACTGAGTCAAGTTGCCAATCAGCCTAAGTTCCCGCGTGTCACCATTCATCGGTCGCGCCGCCGATTAAGGTTTCTCTAGCTCCTTGTGAGGTTCCCGGCCCGGTGGTAGGTAGCGCCAAATATAGTCCTATGCTGTCTCGTCTATAGCAACGCCAGAAAGCTTGCAATTCCAACAAAGTGGGAATCTATCTCGCACTCCAAAGTCTAAAATTCCCTACCCGAATTTTCGTATCGCGCCGCATCTGAATGTCGGATTTTGAACCGCAATTTGGTCTGGCTATTGTGCTCGATTACTGGTAGACTGGATACTCAACAAATCGCAATTTACATCAATTGCTAATTGACATTGATCCACATGCGCTTTGTCGTTGGCTCTCATCATCTAATATTGTCTTGGAACTGAATTCCATCGGCAACCAGATCTTGCGCCGTTGGATTGATGAATTCCGGAGTCAGCGGCTCAGACAAGTGTCCCACCAAAGCCCGCACTGACTCGCTCTCGACATTGAGGGTACTCACTTAATTTGCAACACCCTCAGAAGCGCACGACTAGTCAATCCTACAGAGTAATGAGCTTCGCAACTGAATGCAGCAACGATCGTCACAACATTATAGTATTGATTCCCAATCGTATATATATACCACCATGATTGACAACTCATCCCAGCGGCTCTTCACCACACTCCTTACCCCATCTTTCACTACTACAACCCAACGTACTAACTACTGCATCCACTCCTTTGATCCACCCTTTTCAGCCTAAATATTCACAATGCTCCAATCATCATTCGCCGTCGCCTTCCTGGCCCTCGCCGCCGTCCCCGGCACCCTCGCCGGCTGGAACGGCCACGCCACCATCCCGGCCACAAAGTGCTACAGAAACGAGATCTCGGGCTGCGCATCCGGACGTTGCCTCAACGGGTATGAACCGACAAGTCCCCAAACACCACAGCGCATACCTTTGTCAATATTAGTCGCTGTCGCTCAGTCACGCTAACCTTTTCTGCCTCGAAAATAGCAACTGCGTCCGAAGCTGCGCCGCCGGCGAAGAGCAGGGCTGCCCTACGCTCTGCAAGAAGCTCACCATGCCCGAGGGCTGGTGCGCGGCAAAGTAAGTTTGCTACAGTCTACAAAGTGGCACGCGGGCTCGTTCGCGCCAAGCTTTGTAGAAATCGAAAAAAAAAAAAAAAAAAAAAAGGATTCAACGTGGCTAATCATGAGTTTTTCTTGTTCTTTAGCAACTCTGGTGCTTGCTGGTGCACCCGCGACGACACCAAGAGCTTCATCGACGCCGATCGCCCGGTTGATGATAAGAGAGATGAGATCAAGACCTACCGCGAGACCAAGGCTTGAGGGTATGGTGCGATGGTCTATTCGTGGTGACTGGGGTGGGACGTTCTCAACAGGAATGGAGGGTGCCGAAATGCACACCTTTGGCTAGGGTTGGGGTTTGGGTTCTAAGATTTGGGGTTAAGCGCCTAGGCTCGCTTTCGAGAGACTCGACAAAAAAAACCTCCCCAGACATGAAAAGCGACGGCACTAGTGGGGACTGACATTCCACGCCTTCCAATCACAACCTCGTATCAGATTAGTAATACATTATTCAGCTGAGGACGCTCAAGACTTTGCACTTCATCAAAACTTCAAGTAGAAGCAAATCCAACGTTGCGGACGTAGAGAGGAGTTGGCTCACTACAGCTCAGTTCTTCATACTAAAGCACACTACCTCACAAACAGATAGTCCAAGTCTGAATACATCAAATTGAGGGGGAAAAAAAAAGGAAATGTACGGTGGACACTAAACAGTTGCAGACACCCAAAAGACACCCAGAATCAAACCTCCTGCAACGTAGTCGCCCCAATGGCCACACCACTCTTGGGAATCAAGAAGCTACTCCCCACGACTTTCCCATCCGCGCCCCGAGGCCCCTTCAAAATCGAAGCATCAACACTCACAAAAGACGCATTCGTCCACGTCGTCCCGTCATTCCACGAGTTCCCCGTCGCCGTCACAGTGCTCACCAAACTCACCTGCGCACTCCCCGAAGCCCCATTGACAGCCGCGACATTCCCCCGCATAACCGAAGACGAACTCCGCATCAAAAACCCCGTGTCACCATTATTCCACGCCGAATTCCTCTCAAACGTCAGACTCCCGGGGTTCCCATTATCAATGAACCCCTTTTTCCAATTCCCAAACGCGATGCAATTCCTAACAACATGATCCGCCACAGGGTTCCCCGTGATGCCCAACTTGAACCCATTCCCATCCCCTTCAAAGGGGCTAAACCCCCACCGGTTATACCCGTTGCCCCAAGCATACACCTCCTCCAGCAACACCGAAGACCCAAACATGAAGAGGTCGAGCCCGTCGTCGACGTTGTCCCACAATCTGGCGTTGCGCAGGACGTTGCCCTCGCCCGACCCGGACTTGCACGCGAAGCCGTCCGCGCTCTCGCCGTTTTTGCGCAGGTCGCGGTTGCGGTAGGAGTCGAGGTTCGTGACTGTGTTGTTGGCGGAGGCGCCCTCGAGCTGGAAGCCCGTTTCGTAGTTGTCGTGGGTGGAGATGTTTGTGTAGGTGTTGTGGGAGGCGTCGCGGGCGTACATTCCGTAGGGCCCGTTGATGAGTCTTTTGGTTGTGTGTTAGTTTGCGATCATCTGTGGTCGTGAGCATGGACTTGGGGCTCAGCGTACTCCAGATCGTAGAACGCCCAGTAATTCGCATTCTGGATGTGAAAGATCCCGCGCTCGGAATTTGGTAAGGCCTCATCCAACGCCTTTGGAGTTCTGGGGAGAGTCAGAACAATCCCTGTCAGCCTACATTCTTTTCCCCCACACCCTAGTCTAAGGTGAGGAAAGGTACCCACCCCGGCATATTCTCCCCATCGACAACAACCTTCTCCCCCGGATACGCCCTCACGCTAATCGGCAGCGTCCGCGTCCCGCTCTTTGCAAATTGGATATTCGCCGTCGGCGCATAGGTGCCCCCGCGGAGAAAAATCGTGTCGCCCGCGGCGGCGGCGCCGACGGCCGATTGAATGGAGCCGTACGGCGCATCGAGGGTGCCCGTGCCTGTTCCTGTGGGGGAGACGAAAATGTCGCGGGCGGCTGCGTGGTGTGCGCTGCCGACGAGGAGAAGGAGGAAGGGGACCGCGCGCGGTGGCGGGTTGGATACGGAGGGGAGCATGGCTTGGTGGACTGATTTGATTGCACGGGGGGTTGAGAATGAAGAAACTGGGTGGATTTTTTACGATGTCTTCAGTACATCCGATACCTTTTAATGACTTCCACTTTTGCCAGGAGAGGAAGATGTTGGTGAGATTACAACCTGACCATGGAAAGCCGTTTCGCCCTCGCTCCTAGATTACAACGGCTCTCATAGAGTTGCAAGACATGCAGGTACCAATATCCCGTACCTCATCCCCAAAATGTAACCATGTCGTTCCAAGAAATGCAAAAAGAAAGATGGAAATTCCCCCCAATCATAAGCCCCTGTCTCCACCGAATCAGGAAATAGTACCATTTCTCCCGTGTCCGTACCCCCCACCTGGACCACCTCCCCGGAAGAAAATGATCCCGCAAATAAGGTAAAAACGAAGTCGACGAAATCTCGTCTCTTTTTGTTTTCTTCAAATCGGATTATGTTCGATCCCTGCTTACAGTGTACATCAATGGGAACGGAAATGTTTTGCTTCCGTTCATCCTTGAACGGCCCTTCCATCCCCGACTCTCCCCTCCCTGGGCCCGCTCCACCACAACTTTCTCCCATGAACAGGGTAACAAGACCTTTAGGTCGAAGCCCACGTATCCCAATTCTCCGCGCTAAAATCAGGCCAATACAACGCCTGCAAGTCATCATAGAAAGAAGCCTCCAGAAACTGCAGATCCAACACCGGTTGCGCAAGGAGCTCCTCCAACGACGGCTCCGTCAGCGCCATCCCCGCCGTCGTGCCTGTGCCCGTCCCCGGCCGGACTGGAAGTCCACTTGCACCACTGGAACCGAATTGCGACGTCATGAGCGGGCCGGATTCGGGTTCGGGCCCGGCTCCGTGCGGCGGTGGTAGTACCTCACCATAGGAAGATGAAGAGGAAACCTGCGTCTGCGTCTGCTGCTGCTCGGCATCCAGCCTCCCCCTGCGCTTCGCATAGAACCTATCGAGCTCAGCCCTCATCACGTCAACGTGGTGGCAGTACTCCATTGCAGCAAAGTTTCCCGCGTCGCGCAGTTGCGAGAGGAACCTGACCGATTCCTCAAAGGCCTCCTTGTCGTCGTTGGGCGTCGTCCCCGGCCCCGCCCCGCCGACGGCACCGTCCTGGAGAAGACTCGAGGCGGCAAGGATCGTCAGCGCGGAGAAGAGATACTGCGTGTAAAAATAGTCAAATGTCGCAAAGGACCCGTCGATCCACGATTCAGTTAGCAACCGGATCGAGTGGCGCGCGCAGCGGATGCAGGCTTCTGAAAGCGTGATGGCGCTCGCGGGGACTTGCTGAGTCTCTGTGGTCGTGGTTGCGGATGGCCATGAGGCGACTTTTGTTCGCAGGATGTGGAGGAGAATTGGGCGTGTTGCTAGGATCGCGCACTTGAAGAAGAGTGTGTTAACAATGACTTGTCTCTCGAAGAGTGTAATGGATGTGCGAATGAGTACCCATACCTGATTAAAAGACAGGTGCAGCGAAATAGGCTTCGGCCCAGTCCCCGCGTTATCAATCTGCAGATGGGCAGGCAAATCCTCCACCCAGGCCCGCAGGTCCTTGAGCGCCTGCTGGACCCTCGTCGACAGCGTCGTCGCCTCGCCCTGACTGCGCTGGCCGTAAATGGAGCGGACCGTCTTGGTGATGAGGGCCGCCAGCCGCAGGCTCGCCACGTGGTACGCGGTATCCTCAAAGTCGGTCGCATGCGTCCGCACCACTGCCGCCCTATCATCCGCCGCCTCGGAGGGCAGGTCGACGCCGACGTCGCTGTCCTGGATGGCGGTCGGGTGGCCGAGCTTGGAAGCCCAGATGCGGTCGAAAATGTACGTCGTCCAGAAAAGACGCTTGCGGTGCTCGCGCAGGTCCGGGTCGCGCAGCTGGGACTCGGGGATGTTGAGGTGCAGGCCCATGACGATGGCCATGCGCATCGCCGTGCCGGACATGACAAACGCGCTGTAGCGGCGGTTCAGAGCCAACGAGTAGAAAGAAAGAAGCAGCATGATCTCAATCGAGTCCGTGCCCGGCCGCTCATCGAGCACGCCCAGCACGCGCGAGGCTTTCGCAAAATACGGCATCCCGGGGAAGTCCTTCTCCGAGGGGATGGACCTCGTCGAGTAGAGCTCGCCGACGGCGAAGAGGGCCCACAGCTTGGAGCGGAGCATGAGGTCGCCCCAGGAGGGGTTGTGGATGCTCTGCTCGAGGTCGCGCATGACGGCGCTGCGGCGGACGACGTGGTACCGGCGGGCGACGTACTTGAGGGCCACCTCGACGAGGAAGCGGGAGCGCGAGGGCGTGGGCCAGGCGATCTCGGAGGATTTGACGAGAGCCATGAGCTCGGCGTCGGGGGCGTAGTTGACGCGGAGCATGTGGCGGGGTTGCGGCGCGTAGGGGTCCGAGATGACCTGGCGGAAGCGGGTGGAGAAGGCGGCGTCGGCGACCTCGCCGATGAGGATTGGGGTACGGAAGACGTTGGCGTTGATGAACCACGGTCGAACTTCGAGTGTTGCCGTTGCTGGAGCTGTGACCCCGGCTGCTGCTGCTGCTGCTACTGCATCCTCCACCGCTGCTGTCACTGTCGAGGGTTCTTCATTATCACCTATGTGTGCGGACGTTGGCGTTGATAGGACCTCTCTGTTGCCAGTGTAGCTGGTGTTCTGAGATGGTGTGGCTGTCGACGTCGTTGCTGATATCACGTCATCTAGCGGTGCACATGTTGAGGTTGAAGCGCTCTGGGAAGCAACCTGGCTCTTGAGACGACGGATCTCATCCAAAAGACCGTCAATATAACTGTGTTTTCATGAACAATTCGGCATGAGCTCATCATATCCAGTGATTCATATTAGGGAAGAGGAAGAAAACAAGAAAAGGAAAGAAAGAAACCGTGTGTATTGTGTAGTTGCATGGCTCTCAGTCAAATGTAAAGTACCTTTGTCTGACCTTGACCTGTCTATTGCGGCGCGGGTAAGTGCACTCGGCACCTTTTCCGGCATGCCGACAATTCTGGCAGGGCTGGTCGCCGGAACACTTTACTTTTCGCGAATGACATCGGCGACACGCGGTTGATTTGATGGGCGGAAGAGGCCCGTCGTCAAAGGGGCTCCTCCTGGGCTCCATCGTGCTGCTGCTGGGTGGGTGGCTGTTGCGAGCCGCCATGGTGGGAAGGGCATTTCCCGGCGGTGCGGATACGGGTACAGCGGGGAGAAGAGATGGTGGAAGAGAGAAAAGTAAAGGGTAACGACAAAGAAAGACGAGAAAGAAAGCGACAAGGTCAAGTCCGATGCATCACTTCGAAAGCGTTGCCCATGGCCAAATTCCCACCAACAAACGCATACGCGTGCCTACTTACCTTCCCTTACTGTCAGGGACATTGCAAGTATGTGTCAGAGGGCTCTCTCCTTCACACCGATGACGGCGAAATGTCAGGATGCCGAGGTGACCCAGGCTTGCCAGTTTTGTTGCTTTGTCAGATTTCACAATGCACCGGCAGCTGGCAGCGGCCCGAGCGCTCGTCTCTCTCCGGTCTCGTCGGCAAAGCAATATTTTGCCGAAAGATGAGTCATCCTAGAGATTAGCCAATCACCAACATTCTTCTCTGTGTTTGTTGGATGAGGTAGTGACTTCATCTGAATTTCATGAGTTTTTTTTTTATGGATGTCTAGATGATTATAGCATGCTGTCATGAATGAGAAACTTGACGGGAATGTGGAGGTAGAAACCAGGTTATGATCTCAGGCTAAACCCTCAACTTTTGCTCGTACCACGACGCGGATTGTATCATGCACATGGAGATCAAGTGCCCAGATTCCATGAGGTACGTCTTGATTACTCTCATCTTCATTCACTCGCCACAGCCGCGTATGATGCTTCTGTCGACGAGGGAGCGGCAGAGCAACCGGCGGCATGACAATTGACGCCGGAGCGGCCCGGAGAAATGGGTCCCGGCTAGCCTCATTCTATTGGCCAGAAAGCCGGAATAAGCGGGGCATCTCCCGGAGCGTGTGTAAGTTTGGTTTCATCGCGATTCGGGGGATTTCCTCATCCTTTGAAAACCGTTACGTCTCCCACGATTTTGGAAAGAAGCCACGACGTAAGACAATGGAAAGGAGAAATGTGATTCAGTCGCAGACATGATTGAAGTTATGGGATCTCTCCGTTCAAGCTTGGCGTAACACCCCGGTTGCGAGAATTGGTCTGTAGTTGAATTGCATCAAGTAAGGTATTGTAGGCTTTTCACCTCAACAGGCAGTCAAAAGTGTCAGTGCATTGCCTCTCAATGGCCCAGGAGCATACTCTCGTTATTGTCTTGAGAAAGGGAGGAGGGGCTTCACCTCTTCAGTCTCGCGGGAGTCAAAATATGACGCTATCTCACGACATGTTGCCAGTCAGCCACACCGCGCAACAAAGTTCTTTCAGTTTTCTATTAGAGGAATATCCAAACCCCTACAAATTGATTCAATTTCTCAATTTACCGCATTTCGTAGCCCTAAAAATGAAGTCTGAGCGTCAAGTCTGTTTTACCAATCACCCTCGGGAATTGGTTTCCGTGTACACCTTCGTCGCTCGTTAGTCAGCCCACGCACCACACGTAGCTACATCACCACGAGTAATAACAAGCTCTAAGCCCTGGGACTCGGCTGGGAAAAAAGGTCTATATAATAGACACCCTATCTCACCTTCAGTCTATATCATGGTCACCAGAAACATCACTTCACAGTTGGAAAGCGAACAAAGAAAAACGAACAAATCACCAAGAAAATGGCACACGCACTCATCCTCGGCGCCTCGGGCATCTCAGGCTGGTCCCTCCTCAACCAGGCCCGGACCTACCCCACGCCCACGACATTCGCCCGCATCACCGGCACCACGAACCGCCCTCTGACCCTCGAGCAGGCACGGCTGCCTGCGGATGACCCCCGACTGGCCCTCGTGTCCGGGATCGACTTCACGAAGACTGTGGACGAGGTCGCGGGGGCACTGAGGGACAAGATCCCTGATGTGGAGACTGTGTCTCACGTCTTTTACACGGGTACGTTTCAATCAGTATTCAAAACATGTTTACATAGAACTCAAGAGAACGGGGCTCTGATTGACTCCTGTTCTGCGAATGTAGCATACGTCAATGCGGACGAATCCAAGGGACAAGCGGCCGCTAACATCGACCTCCTGTCCGTCGCGATCAGGGCTATCGAAAAGGTCTCGCCGCGCCTCGCGTTCGTCGTCCTGCAGACGGGCGGGAAGGGGTACGGCCTCATGTACCCGGACAAAGTCACGCTCCGCACCCCGCTCCGCGAAGACAGCCCGCGGATCCCGCGGCCGTGGGCCGACGAGGTGTTTTACTACGCGCAGCACGACCTGCTGCAGGACCTGTCGCGGGGGAAGAACTGGACGTTTTCCGAGATCCGGCCGGATGTGATTGTCGGGTTCGCGCCGACGTCGAACGCGATGAATATGGCGAGGGGTATTGGGATCTATCTGTCTGTTTGGCGGCATGTTTTTGGTGGTGGGGCCGGGAGCGGGGGTCCTAGAGGCCGAGTGGAGGTGCCGTTCCCGGGGTCGTTGCGGAGTTACCGCGCCACGCACACGGATACCAACCAGGACGTGCTCTCCAAGATGGAGATTTTCGCGGCGGTGGTGAATCCCGAGGGATGCGGCGGGGGAAGAGCGTTTAACGTCGCGGATGGCGGGGCGGTGACTTCGTGGTCGGGGGTGTGGCCTCGGTTGTGCGAGCGCTTTGGTCTCGTCGGGGTGGCGCCTCCTCCGTCGCCCGACGCCGGCACGGGTACCGCGTCCGGATCTAGTACCCCGCCGCCGTCGATGAAGGACTTCATCGCGAAGCACGACGACGCGTGGGTCGCGCTGGCGCGGGAGCACGGGCTGGATGAGGGCGCTGCAAGAGAGTACAATTGGGATTTCCTGCATGTGATGCTGGTGGAGTGCAACTTTGATCGCGAGTACGATCTCACGCGGGCGCGCGAGGTCGGGTTCGAGGAGGGGATCGATACGGTGGAGGGGTATTTTGCTGCGTGGGAGCGGATGAGGAGTGCGAAGCAGTTGCCGACAGTTTGAAGAGTATGCTACATGAAGAGGTGGACGTGGAGTGCGTGGTCGTGTTGAGTCGACGGGCTGTTTGGAGGGAGACAGGGGGGGGATTTGATGGGAGATACCGGATTGCAAGCGGCACCACCAAGTATCTTGGATAGGTACTTAGGTAGAAAATAGTTGAAGCTCGTTATGTTCTTTTATGCGAGAATATGCAAAAGAAAACGAACTATAACACTAGAAGATAGTAACTCAATGGCGCGACGTGTCACTCTACGCATTATGTTTGTGGCCTCTTTGGGCGGTGCGGTGGTGATAACGGACCTGACCGGACTCGGCTTCGCCAAAATACTGCGCCGGCCCCTGGTGGAGGCTCAAAACAGCGACAGACGGACGCCCGACTTTATTGCAACGTTCTTGAAGGTCACCCAGACAACCTTGGATAAAAAGCCATCTGTAGCGTTCAAGCATTGTATGAACATGACGCTACTGGACGAAAACAAGACAGCGTGCATGTTGAGATCCAGTATTGTGCTAGACAACCTACTGAGTAAGGTATCTTAATCGCTGTAATACTTGCTGACATGAAGCAAACGAAGGACACCCTCTATGACCCGAGAAGAAAAGCTCTCACATCCGGGATAAGACAGACTCAACCTCGAACCCAAATACTGCCAGCTCTCTCAATATTGGAAACTGAAATATGTGAAGAAAAGCTGATATCAATCAATCACTTCAGGAGTCTATGGAAATGTCTTGTCCTAGTAGAGTATATTCATTTCCACCTCTTTCCCATAAGTTTAACGCCTACAATCTGGATTTTTGTCACAAAATAGCTAATGCCTAAAGGCTGTGCCTCGACCCCTGCCACGAGGTCTGCCTCGTTTCGCCGGCATCGTGCTGCAGGCGCCCCCCCTCTGACCGAGCGGTGGGCCTCGGGCTGTTGACGGCATGAGACTGGCCCAGGCGACAGCCATGGCGGTTCGCTGCGAGGATCCTTCACTAGAGGCCGCCGAAGCCGCCGGAGACTGGATTTGGATGGGAGTTGTGACGCCTTCCGTTGAGTCCATACTAAGCGCCGGGGTGGCCCGCGACTCCTCAACCTGGATGGAAGTAGAAGGCCCTATATTTGCGTTCATATCAAGCGTCGCAGCCGAACCCGCACTTGACTTGGGGACAAACTCAGGCGGCCATCTCTTCTTCAGAGGAAGCTGGGTCTGATCAGAAGTCTTGCCCTCATTTCCTCCATCACAATGTGCCCTTTTAGGCGGCCGTTGCGACTGACTGAGGAACCCCGTGCAATCATCGCTATCGGAAGTGTCGATATCATCGAGATCAACTGACGAATGCCGAGTGGATTTACCAGACTCCCAAACTTCATTGGGAAACGTGCCTTTGCCCCAGCGTGGTTTCTTCTTGTACTTTTCACGCGCCGCTCTCATCGCCCTTGTTTCGGGATTTTTGCACGCCCAACCCCAGGGACAATGGTCAATGTTGAGAGTTGGGTCTTGTGAATTTCCTCGGCGTTTCATGCAATTGGGGCACTTGTAACCCAAGTACGTGACAGTGCATTCCAGCCACTGGTGGCTTCCCAAACACCTGCAGCAAATCGCAGGGTTCGTGCACTGGCTCACAAAGTGGCCGGGTTCGCGGCAGTTGTGACAGATGTCCAGCAGGCTCCGAGGATCAACAGGCCTATTGACGGATCAGTTTTCAGTTCCAGTGAATTAGTGAATTGAACAATAGTGTGCTCGCTTACTGATTAAAGGTTTCAAAATTCCGATCTCCGATGGTCATCGGGAACTGCCAATTGCAAAGATGTCTGGCGTCCGAAAGTCCGTCCACAACGATGTAGAGGTCAAGAAGGCTGTGAAAGACTTTGGAAATCGCAACGTCGGTCAAAAGGCTCCATTCGTAAGCAAGGTCGTCGTTGTTTCTTATCCATTCCGTGGTCCAATTGACATCTCGCACAAGAATGTAGTACCGTTTGGGGACCATACTGATAGGAACACCTTCGAACCGGAGCAGTCTTAGCAAAGTTGAAAACTCGTCTTCCGCTCGCTTCAAGGAGGCCTCATTCCGGAAGTGTAACTCCATTATATTGCCTCTGAAGGTCACGTCCCAGACATTGTTGAATGGCCATTTGCCGCTGCTCCCCAACCGATTGCGGGCTCCGAAGTCGGTCAATCTGCGTAGCTTCTGAAAGCCGAGTTTGCCTGGAACCTTGACGGTCATTGTCAAGTTCACTGTGGCGGATGTCTTCGACGCGGACTTCTTTGATGAGGGCACCAACGAAGTCCGAGTCCCGGGCGAGGGTAGCTGGCGGTATGGGATACTATCCCCGGGGGGCTGGAGTGACTCTGTTTGGCGCGATGGCTCCGAGTGAAGAGGCGGTCCAGTACCCTGAACTCTGGCAAGGACCGCATTCAAGATCGTAGGCACGCTATCTGAAATAGCCTCTCCGACAAGACGGCATATCTCTTCGGAGTTGACATGGTACGTGGGGCCACCGGACATGGTGTTGGTCAGCCTTGTGCAAGGCAAAGAGATGTGTAAGTGCTGGGAACTGAATTGGATATGTGTTCTGAAGAATCGTGAACGAAGAGAGAGATATAGATATATATATAGAGAGAGAGAGGGGGAGGCGAAGAAAGAGAGAGAGAGAGAGAGAGAGAGAGAGAGAGAGAGAGAGAGAGAGAGAGAGATTGTGACTTGCAAATTTTCAACAAAATGTTGTGAAGGGGGGCGATGCAGAGGTTACGCTAGTGAAAACTGTGGATTTCTTCGGGCCTCACTGGACGAGGTTCGGAGGACAAGACCCAGCGGGCAAGAAGCTGCCTTCCCAGGTCCAGATGTCACCGTATCACAATCCTGGTCCCCTTGCCATTGAATAAATGCCGAAATTACAAGTACGAAAGCATACTTTGAATCCAAACAGACTACAGTGTGTAGTGGCCCACTGGTATTCACTCAGAATGAGGTACAAGAGTAAGAATACAATGAACAAATGAAACCCCAAAGTATGAAGATAGTGAGAGAAAAAACGGCAAAACTTCTCTCAGTCGCTTGGCGGAAACTTGTCCTCTGCCGACGCAAGCCTTGCCGGCAACCCCGCAGGAATAGTCAGGCCAAAGAGCTGCTGCTGCTGCTTCCCGGGCGCCTCCCCTGAATCGGTCAGACACGACAGCTGCTTCTTCACAGGCTCCAGCTGCATCGGTTCTGGCTCCGACAGAGATATTGAAACGTTTCGAGCGCGTTGAGATGCACTGCCCACGGCGTCGGAGATAGCAGCAGGCTTAGGTGTGGAGATTGACCCCTGGTGGCCTACCACGACCTCTCTTCCCCGGCTCTTCCATCTCGTGTCCCGCTCTGCCCACACTTGTCTGCACTATCTGCTTAGATGAAGTTGCAATGCCACTAAAACCAGACTTCATTCTTTCGAAGGCATTGGGAACTTTAATCTCAGGTCCCAGAGGGGAACGGCCTGAGGAGGCTCTGGGCGTCTGCATGGCTTTGTTGCCCCTCGCCTCAGCTTCGGTCCCATCCTTACCCACCGGCACACCCATGACTTGCTGGCTGTTGCCGCGGTTCGAACCGCCGACAGACGACGGCACTGATGATGCCCCAGTTGGATGAGGCTCGACCTGGCTGCTCGACTCAATGTCCTCGTCATCAACGCATTGCGTCGAAGCTTTCCCCCCAGCACCCCTTCTTGACTGGATTTTCCTATTCCTTCGTGTTTTCGGGGGAGCTGTGGTCTGACAGGTCTCACACGTAGTCTGATGTTGAGCCGAGGATGAGGCCCAAGGAACTTTGACGCTTGCGAGTTGCTTGCAATTGTCAAACATTCGCTTCGTTGCGACGGATTGGCACTCCGGGGACCAGGCCGTATGGCCTTGATCCTTAATATCCCTAAGGCCCTCATTCTTGCAGTTGGGGCACCTTTGCTTGATAGCTTTGCACAGGAATGTGCTATGCTCTTCAGCACATTTTCCGCATCGCTGAGAATTGGTGCACTGATCTTTAAAGTGACCAGGTCCGCAACAATTCACGCAGAAAAGTGGCACCGAGCGGATGTCAACAGCCCTGGATAGAACGAGCAGTTAGTGATATGTCTTTCCCTCACGCAACCTAGCCAACACCGTGGAGATGACTTACTCAGCCGCGACCTTTGATCCACTCAAGTAAACCCATTCATTGCACAGACGGAGAGCATCCTTCTCATCAGTCAGAGTCAACACAGTCCTCCCAAAAGTCCTCGCGCTGTGGACAATCTTGACCGAGTTTTCTTTTCCCCAAGCTTCGTCCCGATTGTGATTTTGCTCGAATTCTTCTCTCGACAGCCTAAGTCCGTGAACTTCGACATAGTAGTTTTCAGGGACTTGTTCAAGTTCGCCAAGTTTGAGTTCTTGGCAGACAATGTTTGAACGGCTGTAGATATCCTGCACGGCGTTGTCGTCTTTGCAGAAGAGTTTGAGCACGTTTCGATCGATGCGAGCACCCAAAACGGCATCCCAGCACGACTGTTCATGACCATGGACCCCGTCATCTGGAGCATTGTCAACGGTCCCTCTGATCTGTTGCTGTGCGCTCCTTTTCGACTTGCGTTCGCGCGTTCGTATTCTAGACACAATCTCCATGATTTGGCTTGGCTTTAGGGCGGTTGCTGCCTCGAGATACTCTGTATGTCCCTTCATCTTGAGCCTGACCGTGGGCGGCTCGCGCATGGCACGCGTTTCGATAGGCTTCAAATCTTTTCGAATAGTCTTCAGGATCTCTTCCATCCCCTGAGGACCATGTTGGGAAGGTCCTTGGAGCTGGAGGAGTTCCCTGAGCAGTGGTATCGATGCGAGTTGGCTCTGGTAGAGATCCACCAGACTCTGCACGACGCTCATAGTGACTTCCTCCGTCTCAAGCAATGTTTGTAGCTCTTTTATCATGTGGTTGAGACCCTCGGTCCGGAGCGGCTTCGTGGGCAGAGGGGGCTGGCTCCGATACGAGGGCGCAAGGGCGGATCGTGGCGGTCGTAAGGACGTGGTCGAAGCTATCGAGATTGAAAAACGAAGAGGTTAGTCTCCTACGAAGAAGAAGAAGAAGAAAACGTGCAAACCCTTGCACGTCATTCTGTCACTTGCTAGAGACCAAAGAACTTACCTGCTGGGGAAGGAGTGTATAGTCGTTGTCTCTGAGCAAGGGGCTGGTCACGATCCGAGGCGGAATCCGGCCTTTGACGCTTGCTTCTGCCCTTCTTGAAAAGCTTTTCAACTAGTCCGGCCATCTTCTCTGGTTTGGTGTCTTTCGTCAGAGATGTGTGTAGAGTGAAAGTAACGCTCTTGTCAACGAGCGATTGGTAGAGACACACCGATGTCGCTGTGGTCATCCGATGCAGACGGCCGAACATCTCTTTGCCCATTGCAAACAGCTCACCTTCGAACGCAGTCGCTTGCGCAAGCATGTCGGCGTAATCAACTTCGATTTGCTGGTCACAACCGAGGCCAACGTGGCCACCGCGTGGGCAATTCACCATTTTGACATCGCTCAGTTCAGGTGGACGGGCAAACACATGCCGCTTCCCCGTTGATTGCAGCCCGCAGCTTGCCACCGTTTTTCGGAGGCCACTTTCCTTTTTGTCTTTCCCTCTCGTCTTGTTGTTCCCTCCATTATTTCCAGACATCGACCGCACGTCGATGCATCTCATCACGCCGCACCTTCTTTGGTCTCGGGTCTAGTGTACCCGAGACTACTACCACCTCGTCGCATCATTGTTTCCCTCGTCCTCGCCCTGGACTCTTCGCCCTGGTTTTCTTCTTTGTCTTCTGTTCAAGGTCGGTGTTACGGCATTCCTGTTCAACTTGCCAGCCTACCTCGCCTTTGTACAGTAGCACACCTTAGCCCAGACTTTCAATTCAACCCACTTTTGCCCTCACCCCCCGACGGAGCAATCCGCCGGGGCCGTACCGTGTATTACGTATTGGGGTGAGATCTTCGGTGACCTTGCAGTCCTCGCATTCAATGATCACCTCACTGACCTGTTATGGATCTAGGAAAACTGGGTATATTGCGCTCCAAACCTAACTACTAACCAAAAGTAAGTGGACTTCCCCAGCGTTGCTTTGTGCTTCATGACGCGAGCCGTTTGACTGACTGGCGGACCGAGCCGCAGCAGCAGTCAACCGACTCGACCATTTTCTCCTTTCATCAAGTACGCGGCCTGCCCGTTCCTTGCATTGCTCTGATATGCTAACAGTCGTGTTGAAGCAGCTCCCGACCTTCCGCCGCGTTAGTATGCCCGCCCTGTCCTTTCCCTTCCATACGAGGCATCAGTAACAGGTCTGACAGAGTCCTCCAAGTTCCAGCCGTCTAGAGGGCGAGCTTCACCCACTCCAACGCACACAAGACCTCCTGGTGCCAGCCCGCGTGGGCGGCCAGGTCCAGCATAATCTCTTCTTTTATACGGGTATTATCGTCGCCCGGGGGGCTCGTAGGAGCCGTCTTACGCGCCGGCTTGTCGCCCTGACCCTGTATACTTCCGGCCCGCCCATCTCGGCCATTATGGCCAGGCCGGCGTCGATGTGCCGTAAGTTGCTTGTTGCTAGACTAGACTGCTGAAACTAACGGTACTTCCCAGGGATCTTGGCGTCAGTGCCGGCCCGGCCGTCCACGACGTTCGTGCCGTCGCCCAGCCGAATTCCGCACCGCCGGAAGGCACTTCGCCACTTCTTGGGCGTGCCCACGTTGGCCACGATGGCCACGGCGTCGAGCCGGCCGGTAAGTTTCTTTCCATACATTACGACGGCTTTATGTTCCTTGGTCAGGAAGAACCCCTTTGCAAATGAATCTTGCTGACCAGACTATCAGAAGAAGGGGCCCAGTCCGAGGGGGGCAGACTTGTCGAGGGGCATCGTTGGGTGAGACTCGTCGCTTCCTTTTCCTCCCATACTCATGACTGCCACTGACACTCTTCCGAGAGAGTCCCAGCCCGCTGATTGCTGACTGTATGTTGGATGGTGATTGCTCCCTTTCATTCTGCGATTGGATAAGCAAAGCTGACCATGATTCAGCAGAGTAGGTTCTCGTCGATGTGGTTTGACTAGCCGGACTCTTGGCTGGTTCCGACTGGTTGTCTGACTAGTTGCCCAGCTGGTGGTTTGTGTATTGATGGGTTCGTTTGATGGGTTTGTTTGGTGGTTTGTTTGGTTCGAATGGAGGTTGGTCGCAAGTGCTTTCACTCTATCTCTGTGACAGACGCTAACCACCCTTAGAGAAGCTTGTGGGTGATGTGGGAAGTGATGAGGATGGAAAGAATCTTTGCGAGCTCTGGTACGGCAAGTACGACGGAAGCTTCATGATGCGCCGAACAACGACTGACATGAGAGGAAGAAGAGCAGCCAGATATTGGCCCTTTTGGCCCTTTCTCCGGAAACCTCTACGTCGCCATCAAAGTTCAGAACCTCTGCGGTTGAGGGTGAGTGACTTCCTTGCGACGGATGCATTGCACAGTGGCAGCCACTTTGAGATGAATTTGTGCTAATACCCGTCATGCCAGAAGGCCGCCTCCGACCTTTGCGGCCGACCTCTGCGGCCGACCTCTGCGGCCGACCTCTGCGGCCGACCTCTGCGGCCGACCTCTGCGGTCGACCTTTCCGGCCGCCGCCGCCGCGTGGGTATGTCGCTCAGCCTGTCGTCAGCAAGCAGCGTACCCCTCCCTCAACTTCCTGAGAATAGAGACATGGAGCTAACATGAGATTGAGTGAATAGGGCAGCTTGCCCATCCCGAATTGCATGGCGGTTTTCGTATCGAAATCACTATACTGAGTTGAGCGCGTGCTTGGGGCACATTGCGCGTATTGTGTAGTTAAAAAGTGTACCGTATCGTGTGATTTCCCTTGAAAGCCTGATCCCGTTAAGGTCGATCTTTTGCGCCTGTAAAGCCGGAAAAAAACCACCACATAAAATACAACTGTCCCTTAATTTTGGTTCCCCTGTTGCCATGATCTATCGTTCGCTATCTCAATTGCCATGCCAGGTGTGTGCTTTAGCAGCAGCCTTTCAAGCTGTGGGCTGCTCAGCGTCAGGCGCCCGAGTGTGCGGGTAGAGTTCTCGGCTGCGTTTACCTTGATGAGGAACCTTCCAGGTAGCGCGGTTGCCTAAAGTACCTAAGGTGAGTTGGAAAAAGTACCGTGGTACCTCAGCTTCACCGTGGCTCCCCTAAATCCTAGATAGGTCCACACCCAACGAACCTTCCCGTCCATCTTTTCAATGGAAGCCACCTAGCGGATGCACGTGAGGTAAGGAACTAAATACCACCTACCTACCTGCCTTTCTCCATTGTCTTAGACACCTGCGAAACTTAATCACCTCACCCCAGTCCAGCGCGCTTAAATACCTCCCACGTCTCTCCATCGTGCCTGTCCCCGCCCAACACCACATTTAATAACCGCTGCATCTCCTCGTCGCCCAAACCCCACGACTCAAGATCATTCGCCCGGCATCTTCAATCGTCACATACGCACAACTTCTACCTAATCGAAAGAAGGTACCACGCCATGGCTACTTTTTTTCACCTTCCTCGCGAGCTGCGGGACATGATTTACCGGCTCTACGTCGTGTCCGACGGAGGCTATGTCCTGAATCCCGAATCCAACAGACTGAGAAATGCCATGGGCAGACCAATCGACCTGGCCCTTACGTACACGTGCAAACGCGTTGCCGACGAAATGAGGGGCCTTGCACTGGAAGCGAACACCATCACCGTTTCAACCTTTTACTCGCCACACGAACGCCACAGAGCTAGAGACTTTGATGTGGTCATGACGATGCTGCACGATTCCCTACAAAGTGCCCTCAATCGCGCAGAGCTTTTTCTCTGGGACGACATCTGCGCCGAGATCTCGGGAACATTCCCACAGTTCACACCTGTACTCGACATGATCAAGCACGATACATGGCACAGTACACAGGGCCGATCGTCCAAGCAAGGCCCATGGGGTGAACCTCCATCGGTTTACCGCGATTTTGTGCGCTTTGCGCTGCAGACGATCTCAGATTTAGATTACCGGCATCGTTTTAATGACGAGTTCGCAAAAGCCTTTTGCAATACTGATGACATCCGACCTCTTCTCGACTTGGATCCGGCCCCTTGGATGATTCCAACTCAATACGATCTTCGGCAAATGGTGGACATGCTCGGCGGGAAGTCCTCGTTAAGATCGTTTGGTTTCGTACGCGGCTGGATGGGCTCTGAATCCGCTACACGACGTGCCATGTATCGTTATTCTGCAGCAGCTGTTGGCATCCGGTTTCTGAAGTCCAATACGCTTGCGACCCGAGCGCACCTGAGAGATATCGTGTTGATTGAAGACCAGGAGTCTGTCTCGAACCCCGCGTGTCACGCCATGGGGTTAATCCCCTTTTGCCAAGAGAATCCCGCCATGCGGATAGAGCGACGCGTCAGCTTGTGGCACAATGCCTTCTTCTACCATTCAAGTATGTCAGGAGCAACTGGCTGGCGGACGAAGGAATATCGACAAGTGGAGGCCAACGAGATGTCTTTCGCCGTCGCGCGCTGGGTCATTGAGACCCTGCCACTTATCCCCGCCGGCATGCCCGCCAATTCATTCACATTAGTCTTGGACGGAGAGGGCGATCCGCAGTGTACAGAGATCTTCCAGACTGTGGTTCTGCGCGACGCTGCTTGGCAGCAGGCGATGGACGAATGCTTCCAAAGCGGCGACCTTCCTCCGGAACCGTATGGGATGAGGAGAAACAGCCAGAGAAATTACGTGGGAGCCATCTTCCCCGCCTTCAACGAGTCTTATTTATTTGACAAGTTTCCGCAGGCAATGCAAGAAATCGTCGAAGGGACGTCCATGGTTCGTTGCACCTTTGATCCCGGCGAGATTGTGGATGTGCAGCGGCTCAAGTCGATCGCGAAGCGGGAGTCATGGAGTCTGGATCACTGGAGAGTCAAGTGGTATGACCGCGAGAAGAAGACCTACGAAACTACTCCCCCATTGCCTTCATGGAGCGCAATTAAAGCTGGTTATCTATCTAATCGTCATGTTGGGCCCTTCCGCCGCTGAGGGCCTGCGGTGATAGCAATGTAGAGACTAATATCATGCAGAGCAGCCAGAGGATAGTGACGGTGCAGCACTAGATAGGACCAGCACAGGTCGTCTTGAGTTGATAATGAAAGAGAATAACAGAGGTAGGCAGCCTACCTAGCATCCGAGGAGGTCTCGTACCTCCGTCTACAGTACCTAATCGGTGATCATTCCCAATCCCTAATTTAGTTGGCTGAGCCGTTTCCGTTGTTTTTTTTTCGAAAAAGTTCCCAAAGCCCATTGAGAGACACGGCGAGCGTGTTGCTCAAGAGCTCGAAGCCTCGGGAAGTGCAGGCAAACCGTCACTGGCGATGGTAGCGAATAACAATGACTGGAGGAGGCGAGCCACCGGCGGGGGGGGGGGGGGCAGGCAAAAAAAAAAAAAAAAGAAAAGCAACCGAGTCTTTGGGGGAAGCTTCCTTTGTTCTCCACCCGCTCTGGTATCGGCAAGGTAGTCTGGCCACGTACTTATGCTCTACCTCATACGCACACACGCACACATACAGACATACACACTTGGCGGTTCTGGCTTACGATGCTGAGTCTTTTCTGCGGAATCCCTGAGGAAGGCTGCCGTCAACGTAGGTAATACGGCAGATGACAAGGGAGAGGGAAATGGGAAGGGTGGTTTTGTGCCAGCGGTACCTTACCCAGGAGCACGGAGCGGTCCCCGACACCCGGTAAGAAAAGTCGATGAGGGGTAGGTAGTTTGAACCCGGGACGAGGCCCGGGACGGGCCAAAGCGGTATCAGATCAGCGCGCAGAGTCGAGGGTATATTCAATTCACCCTGCATCAATAGAGAGACTAATTTCTCCGGGAGGGGCGGGTGAGGGGAGCGTTGGCATATTTTTATAGGTACCATCCCAGACTAACGATCATAAGGTAGTCTGGGAGATAGGGGCGTTTCAAGGTATTGGGTATGTCGTCAGAATCCATCAGAAACCTGAACATGACAAGAAACTGGGGGCAAATGAGATACACGCCTAGGCGGACGGCGTGGGGGGCGAATGATTGAGTCTCGCAGAGCGGAGCTATGAATTTACCAGTTGATCATTGCTGCCCCATGTTTTTTTCTCTTCTTAGGTAATAACTGAACTTCCATCGCAAGGTGAGACTATGGAAGCCCCCTCCTACCCTTCGATGTAGATAGGTTGGCAATAACTTTTAAAAAAAGGACTCCAAAAAGACCGTCGTCGCGGCCGGGTATCATCAAACCTCTCTTCACCGAAGACTCTCTCTGTCTCTCGCTTTCTTTGTTTCTCTCTCTCTCTCTCTCTCTCTCTCTCTCTCTCTCTCTCTCTCTCTCTCTCTCTCTCTCTCTCTCTCTCTCTCTCTCTCTCAAACTCTCTCAAACTCTCTCGCCGCCTGCCCAACTTTACCGCCCACGCTTCATACCAGCCTGACTCAGCAAGTCCACATTCCGCGGCAAGTCGAAATCGCCCCTCGCCTCGAACCAGAAGAGCATCTCCGGCTCCGGGCCCGTTGGCTTTGTCGGTTTCTTCGTCTTCTGCGACTGCGGCTGCGACTGCCCAGACATGACCACGTCCCCATCACCACCACCGCCCCCGCCCTCCTCATCGCTCTCCTCGTCCTCGTCCTCGTCATCGTCATCCTCGTCATCCTCCTCAAGCCCCCTCTTCAACCCAGTCCTGACATTGTCCACCCCCATCCGCCGCTCGTCCTCGGTATACACGTCCCCCGCCTCCTCGAGGACGTACTTTTGCACCCGCTCGACGGTCCACGCGCGCACGTCGCGCCACACCGCCTCGAGCTGGGCCTCGCCGCCGCCGCCGCCGCCGTTGCCAGCAGCAACAGGTCCACCAGCAATACCAGGTCCACCGCCAATACCAACACTGCTGCCGTCCGACAAGGAAAGAGGAGCGTTGGTACCGCGCAGCTCCCGCGTCGTCTCCCGCCCGCGCTCGACCCACTCCTCGACGCCCGGCTCGAGCTTCTTGCGGAGCAGCTGCAGCAGGATGTTCTCGTGCACGCGGCCCGGGTACGCGACGTCCGGAAAGACGTGGAGGTGCTGGAAGACGTGCGTGTTTTCCGTCAGGGTCTCGAGGAGGGATTGGAGGTTGCGGAGGAGGATTTGGGATTGTGCTTGGAGGGATGCCCTGTGTTGTGTTGCGCAAAATGTTAGTCATCTAAAAATAAAATGAAAAATTTCTTGCTTCTTCTTTCCATTGTTTGAATCGCGTGTCTTGATGAATGGGGGAGTTGCGAGGAACGAGGGAGGACGGAGGAGGGAAAGAGCTTACGGGGGAGGAAGCGGGTTGCTCTTCAAGACGTCCATCCGCAGACCCTGGATACTGTTGGAGAGCTGGAACAAACGCTGGCGCGTCTGCTCAATCGCCTTGAATTCATCGGCCGTGATGCCGAGTGCGTTCGGCTTGTCCATTTCCCGTGGTATAATCTTTGCGCCCGCTGTTTTGTGTTCGTGCGACTCTTCGCAGATTGGAGAATCGTAGAGGTTCTTGGGGGATCGTAGCGGGTGATTGAAATCGCACAGCTCACGCGACTCGACGCGCCGGAAGATCGTTGAGTGCTTAGCGAGTCGCAAGAAAGGGAGAGAGTATTGGAACAGACGAGTCGGGAGGGGATGTGACTGCGCAATTGATTCTTCGAGTAGGCAGCGTGAGGTGGTCTTGTTGAGAGTTTACCGGAACTGCAGCTCTCTCTATCCAGGTTGAGGAGGGGAGAAAAGGTTCGAGTGACGTCCTAATCCACTCGGCCGGGGAAAAGATGAGTGGGTCCAGGAGCTCCGCGTCGAACGGGGTGTGGGCAGCGATCACGGCGTCAGCACGTACCTCGCGTACCCCGCTGGCCCGGCGCAAATCCCAGCTGAACAAGCGATGCAGGGCCGGGAGCAGGGGCTATGCAGGACAGGATCCCTTTCAATTTACCTAAGATACTAAGGTAGAAGGTAGGTAGGTACGCATACAAGGGAGACCAGACAACCCCTCATCCTCAGACTCGTGCGAGGCTCTTCCGAGTCACGGGAAACCGACCACACTCAACTGGCTTCGGGTTTGCCTGCTTGACGTAAGGCATTCAAATACAGGTAACGGCGTGGTAAAGCACTCACCTTGTTAGATGAAGCCAAGGCGGTCTCATTAAATGAGCACGGCGAGTTGGGAGTGGCACGTTAAGTGAGGGAGTCTGGATATCATGACGACGGGCGAGCTGCTTAAGATGTTCTCTGAGTAATCCTTGAAGGTTGAGTGTCACGATTCAATGAGACAGGACCTTCAATGCAATTGGTACTTTGCTTATGTGCTAAGTTTTGGGCATTCATTTCCTAGGCCCCATTGAGAGCTAATATACAAAGAGCGTCTGGTCTGTCCTGAAGATCATGACCATGCGCCTGATCGCCTTGCGGATATCTGCGAGAAGGAAGAGAAAAGATGCCGCGTGCTGTAAATCAAATGATATGCCCCAACGCCCCTGTGAGATGCATTTTGGTGTCGTTATCATCATAAATATGCAAAAGATTTACTGGCCGTGAGATCCAGCTTGGTCGTGAAGAACTCTGTGGCCAGTTGTGGCGCGGTCGACCTCCCGACCGTACTTGTCCACGGGCGGGTAGCGAGCGCGACGCTCGAGGTCATCCAGGGGAATCTGCGAGCGGATGTACCTGAGAGATGTTAGTATCGAGTCTGGTGATTCATTATGCCAAGGCCACAACTTACTTCATTCTACCGTCGTCAACGGGGTCATAGTCCCAGCTGGTAAACTGGCCCTGGGTAAGAGCGCCCCATACGAGGCGACGCTTGCGCTGGGACTGCAAGACCTGCTCGGTGATGGCATCAAAGTCCCACTTGGCCTTCGTCTCGGCGTTGTACTCGTCAAGCTTTGCCTTGGCTTCCTCGTCCAGCAGCTTGCCAGTAATTGCCTTGGATGACGCCAGGTTGACCAGTTCGAGCGGATCGTGCTTGAGGTTGAACAACTGGGTGCCGTCTGCAGGGCAGTGGATGTACTTCCAAGGACCCTCTCGGATCATCATTAGTGGACTGACAGTGCCCTCGCCGGTGTATTCGGCGTAGACCTTGTCGTGGCCAGTCATGCCCTGGAGATGGGGCAGCAATGAAACACCATCCATGGGCAGACCAGGAGCAGGCTTCGTGCCGACCAAATCGCACAGCGTCGGGAGAATGTCAAGGGTAGAAACATTCTTGTCCACACGATGGGGCTCAAAGTCCTTGGGGTGGCGGACAAACAGCGGTACTCTGACGGAAGACTCAAAGTAGCTCATCTTGTACCACAGTCCACGCTCGCCGAGCATGTCGCCGTGGTCGCCGCTGAAGACGATGATGGTATTGTCGTCCAGACCGCACTTCTTGAGAACGGACAAGAGCCTTCCGACGCAGTCATCAACGTAGCTGACAGCGCCGTAGTATGCGCGGCGAGCCCGCTTGATCTGGTCGTCGGTGAAATCGTAGTCCCAAAGATCGCAGACCTTCATGAGACGCTTGCTGTGGGGATCCTGTTCTTCCTTGGGAATGCGAACCTTGGGAAGAGCAATATCGACATCCTCGTAGAGATCCCAGTACTTGTCCTCAATCGTGTAGGGGTCATGAGGGTGAGTCAAAGACACGGTGAGAGCGAAAGGGCGCTTCTCAGGACCCTCACGGACGTGGTCGTAGAGGAACTGAGTGGAGCGGAACATGACTTCCTCGTCGTAATCCAGCTGGTTGCTTCGCACGCAAGTGCCGGCTTGGAGGATGGAGCTGGAGTTGTGATACCACTCAAGGCGGGTGTCTGGCTCATCCCAGTTAACGACCCAGCCAAAGTCGCCGGGGTAAATGTCGCTAGTCAAACGAGTCTCATAGCCGTGAAGCTGATCCCCGATGAAATGCATTTTGCCTGCCAGCGCAGTCTGGTAGCCCTTCAGACGCAGGTAGTGTGCGTAGGTGGGAATCTCACTGGAGATCTGGCTGGCGTTGTCGTAAGCACCAATCTTCATGGGCAAAAGACCGGTGATCAAACTCATGCGGGATGGTGCGCACAACGGGGAGGGGCAGTAGGCAGAGTCGAACTGAACAGACTCGGCGGCAAGAGCATCCAGGTTTGGTGTCTTGATCTGTGATTCGGGGTTGTACATCTTGAGCTGGGGTGCGGCCAGTTGGTCGGCCATGATGAAGAGGATATTGGGCTGCTTCGCGCTCGGTGCGCCATTGCCGTTGCCGTTGGCAGACTTGCCATTGGCGGGTTGCGCCAGAGGCGATGAGGGAAGTGAGTTGAGATCGGGAGCCATTGTGCTTGTAGCCAATGGTCTCGAGTAAGAATTGTTTATTGAAACTTGAGCAAGTTTGTTGGAGATGGTGGTTGTGGTGTTGTGGAAGGAAAATGTTTGT